AATACATCTACCTTCCTTCTCAGCATCATGTCAGCCAGCTCTTTACCTGTCATTGTCCCCACATTTAGAGTTGCAACATTCATTCCTACATACTTGACTTTCCTCTTCTCCCTCCGTCTCCTGACACGTGTCCCTCCTCGTGGTCTTCAACTAACAGTGGCCCAATTTCCGTCAACACCCTGTTTGTCAACAGCACCGGTTGTGGTCATTGTTAACCTGGGCTTCGACCGATCCGGTATATTTTCACTTTGATGAACTCGCATTATAGTTTTGGTAGAAGTGATTTATGTTGGACGCCCTTCCTGACACAACCATCACCATTTATCCGGGCCTGGGACTGACACTGGCTTGGACTGGTTTAAATGAGATCAACATGCTCATGCTAAAAAAAAAAAATCTCCAAAGGAGCTGGTATGTGGCTCAGAGAAAAGTGTGGGAGCCAAAAGCTTCTGATGAGCAGCGGATCAGATGCCGAGGCGGCAGTTAGCATCCTTCCCCAAAAACACTGGGCATTGTTAAACAAAAGTGACCCCCTGAGTGCAGCGGCCATCAAACATCAGTCTGTGTGTGTCACACGTGTCAGTCAGAGCAAACGTCTTCCAGCTCCTCCTGAGAAGCGTTCCCAGTGTCTGTGCTCTCCTGTAGCCATCAATAATACATGACGTTCCTGTTTCCAGCTTTGAAACTCATTTGCTTTGATTCCTGCCTCGCTATCTTCGCTGCGTTGATGGGAAGTCGGAAAAATGCGACCTGTGGCGACCCCCAGCTGAGTGGCAGCTCTTTCAGCTGGTTAAATATGGAGCGGTGTATGTTTGTTTGAGAGGAAGATCCCCGTGTCGTCCAGTAGAGAAAATGGTTTATTATGTTCAGAAGCAGATCACAGGGGGACGGGGGAGTAAGGAGACGCTTTTAACCTGCTTCAGTCTCACAGGCAGCAAGAACAGACAAAAGTGATGAAGTTCAACAAAGAACCAGCAAACTCTTGGACAGCAGTGCCGTCATATCCCCTTTTTTTTTTTGGTTTGATTCTGATTTCCTGTTCTTAGAAAAGTAATGATTGTGACGTAAACTGTGGGTGGCTGCAACTCCGGAGGGAAGTTGGCCTTTCAGTTCAAAGTGCTGGACATAAAAAGACAAAAGATGAAAAAGAGAGAGAAACTACCAATTAACAACAATTCCGTTCCATTGAAATCATCGTGCTCAGAACGAGACTTTGCCCAGTCGGACGGCATGCACGAAGCTTGTCGGTAACGTTTTTTTGTTATGGTTGTGCTCAAGTGAAGCAGGAAAGTAAGCAGAGAAATCTGAATAAGTACAACATAAGCTTGGATCTGAAAGCCTGCGGTCGCAGGAATGTAGTGCTGAACTGAGCAACCAGACATGTTTGAGGTTTGGAGGGTGCGCTTTTCTTTCTCTTGTCAGCAGGGATTGATTTCAGGACATTGTCCTGTGGACATTGGAAGCTTTTTGCTTGGATACAGCTTAATTATTCTGTGTATTGTTTATCCCCCCATGGCACTAATTCACTGTGACAAAATTGAACGTGATGTTTTTTTATGGCCTTTCATACTCATTACAGTATCCTCGAGTCGGTTTCAACCATCTATAATAATATCCTTAAGTGTTGCCGTGCGTTAATCATAAAAGTGTTGCTCCGACTATCTTTATTGATCAGGCTGTTCTCTCCTCTGTGACCAAATTCATTGCAGAACATGACAGAGTCCCACATGTGTTAAGAAATTATGTTGGGGGGGGGGGGGGAATGCAATGTGATGCAATGATCAAAGAAGGCTATGTAATATCATTTCCATAATCGTTAGGCTCCTCCGTCGTCTGTCATGGATTTGGGAGCGTTTGATGCTTGGGCAGGTCTCTTAATTAGCCATCCTCTCCATCAGCTGTCTGCCGCCCCCTCTGTCTCACAAATTACAGAGTTTGTCACCATCATATGGCCAGAGGACGAAAAGGCGGAGAGGGGGTGGGGGGGCGGATTCCTCCAACTGGTCTGCTCCACTTGCAAGCAGTACATCGATCCACATTTTAGTTTTAATCAGTAGGAGGACGAGGATAAGAGGCTTTCAGGTTTGTTCAACAAGTCTACACGTTACCTTGTGGGTTTGTAATCTTCCACATGCGTCTGATTTTACTGGTCTTCTTTGTGGGGCTGCAGGCCTCCGACTCGATGCTTAAACACCCAAAAGTTTGGCCTCTGATGGGGCTCACGCTTCTGTAATTACAGAGGTCTTCCGTCTCCGTGTGCAGGCATGTTAAAAAAAAAACATTCTGTTTTGCGCAAACCTCCCTGGCTCTGTATCTGGCAGGAAGGGTTAGCCCTTGGCGAGACCTTTCATTTCAATGCGCTGCACACTCCATTAAAAGGGAAGGAGAATAAGTAAATACACATCACTTCTCTCACAGGGATTTAGATATATACCCCGTACAAAAAAGAAGAAGGGAAAAAAACAACATCTCACATGGTTTGTAGCAGATGAGGAAAGAAAAGTGATGCAGGAGTGCACGTCTGAGCGTATCTCTATTTGGACGAGTGTGCGTCGGCGCCCAAACCAGAGGGCTAACATGAACCCCACCACCATCTTCTATTTTCTCCCTGCAGCTCCAAGACTTTGTCCTCCTCTCACACATCAGCCTCATCTCCCTCCTTATCCTCATTCCACGCACGATGCGCTCCCGTTCGCTCACGGACTTCACTCCTTCTCTCACCCCGGCCTCATTACTCAAATTAGGAGCGCCAGTAATCACCACGCCGAGCTCCATTCGGCGCCTTAACGCACCCCAGTCACACACACACATACTTAGCTTTCCACATCCCTTTGAGCTCATGCCCCTCCGTTCAGTGGCCAATCCAGCACAAGTTGCATGAATATTGCAGAGGTGGTGTGATGTTGGGAATGCCCTCTGGTTTTTTATCACTTTGTATGATTGGATGGAGAGGAGGAGGTTTAATGACACATGGTGCATGTTGTGACTGATGACTATCTGAAGATGTTCAACACTTGGGGAAACGCACTCATTCATTAGTATCCTACTCAAGCCTGATTCTTTAATAATATTTCATCTCCTGCAACAAACTAAGCTAAGTTACCACCATATAATACAAGACTGAGGGCAGGTTGTGGCTTTAAAAACCTCCTGACTCCATATTCCCAGTCAGCAAGCATCAACTTGTTTTATGGAACACTAAAGCACTGAATCTTGTCATTATTGTGTTGTTAGCTAGATTTACTCCGTCTGAACTGTGCTTTAGCTGCCCTTCTACAACCGGTCAATATTAGGCCCCAAAAGAGGTATTTGAGTCCTGTAAAGTTTCAGGTATGACTCTCCAGCGCCAGTCTTTTGTCCAGGCATGGTCACTGTGTTTGAAAAGAGAGAGAGAGAGACTGCAATGTGCAACAAATACCGGTACTCAGAGACGCGAGTGGCATCATGATGAGTTCTTATTCACAATCTGGTTCAGGTTTGGTTTAGTTGTCATATGCAAAAAATGAACACAAGGTCAACAATGCAATGAAATGTTGAGGACGAGAAGAACCGTCTCGACTCGCCAAAAAAGAAACAACAAGAAATACTAAAGTATGCAACAAAAACACAAAAAAACAAGACGCCAAAAGTGGAAAAAGAAAAATCTACAGTGTGGTTCTGTTAGCAGTGAGGTTCTTTCAGCAGCATGGTTGTCATGATAACCACAGACTATACTATACTACTATACTTCTGCTATGTACTATACTATTACTACTACTACTGTACTATTACTATACTATTACTACACCTCTAAAAACACTTAGAGGTACCTTAAGAAAACAAATGCGTAACTATATTTTTTTCTTCAAAACATAGTCTAGATTAAGCTATACATTTGTTTTAAAATCTTCAACCAACGATATGTAAAGCATCCAACAAAGTTCAGTCAGATTATCTGGACGGTTTCTTTCCATAGGACTTCTTCAGTCCGAGGAGTCACAAACAAACTCAGTTCCACAAGCAGCACACTCACATAGTGGGCCAACCAGTTTGCTGGTGATAAGATGGTTTCTTGGGCCCGACCTCTCCCCCGTCGACTCCTCTGATGCAGCCATGGCCAAAGTGGTTCAAAACATCAACATTCTGATTAGCCTTTTGGCTATGGCTGCCTCAGAGGAGTTGACAAGGGAGAGGTTGGGCCCCAGAAACCATCTTATTACCAGCAAACTGGTTGTTCCACTATGTGAGTGTGCTGCTTGTGGGACTGAGTTTGTTTGTGGCTCCTCGGACTGATGAAGTCCTTTGGATGAAGGACGAAACGTCTCAGCAAAAAAAAGAAATCGTCCAGAGGACCTGACTGAACTTTGTTGGATTTTTTTACCTGGATTATTGAGCATGAACTTCAATGATATGTAAAGTAATTTAACCTGTTGGTCTGAATGCAGTTTAAGTTTAGGTGTAAATATTCAATGTTAAATGAGGGTTATATCAACACTAAATTTTAAAATCACATTTATTGCTCAGTAAGTCAGAGATGACTAGAAGCCTATCAGAAACAGAAAGTTACTACTCTGGTAGTTTAAAACGTGTTGTTAGGAGAATCAGACTCTACACTTTGTAATTGTTTTTAAATTTGTGAAACAACAATGTTTAACATGTTAATACTTTTAACGGTGTTGCTGAAATTTTGATTCTCATTTGATGCAGCTTCTGATTACTGATCAACCCTTTGTCCCTCTTGATCTGACAACATTTTCTCTAACCAACAAGAGTTTCTTATTTTTGCACTTGGTGTGAATTAATAATAAAAAAAACAAGGAGTAAAAGAATATGATAATAAATTAAATTTGTTTTCAGAAAGCACAAAAGAAGCAGTTTGATTCATAAATTGGAATCAAAGTGTTCCTATAATTTGGCACGAACGAGCACATTTGTTCTAACTAAAACCTTGAAGCTACATCTTGTAAAATTTTACCCCACGTTTTTGCTGAAGACATCTTCTTTCTTTGCCTCCCCCTCAGGTTCTGGAGCGTCTTTTCCAGAAAGGTTTCAGCGTGGCGGCGTCATGCGGCGGCGGCGTGGACTCGTCCCAGTTCAGCGAGTACGTGTTGTGTCGCGAGGACCGGCGGAGTCTCTCAATCAACACGCCCATCAGGATAAAACAAGAACCCCTGGACTAGAGATCTCTGGTAGAGGGACTGGCATCAACCCCCCGTCCTCATTACTCCTTCTACCATTTCATGCCACCAACAACTCCCCCTTCCTTTCCAAGGACCACAGCCACTCCCCCAGTATACCCAAGTATTAGCAGAGGCTTGTTAACCTCGCCAGCTCTGCAGAACTCTGAGGGGAATGTAGAACCAAACTAGATATAAAGCAACAGCAGCTAAAGCTTTTGATTTACGGTAAATAACACCCAAAGACTCTGGGACTGTGACGACAGCGCCTCACAGCTCAGTTACTTGTAGATTTTTCCACACGGACTTGAGAGAACATCTTGAATCTGTTCAAGGAAGACATTGAACCTCAGTTTTCTCTGGCTCTCAACGACCCTTTCACATCTGCATCTGTGGGACCCATGTTGTTTCTGACTGGTGACACGAGGGGCCTGCCATGGTCTGGGGAAGCTTTGGCACACAGGATGTTCTTAAGGATGATAAGAACACAATCTAATTTTGAGAGTCCTCACTAAAGGCGCTTCAAAAACTAAGCCCCCCCACCCCCCACCCCCGCATCACAGGCCTGGGTATAAACCTCGCCGGACACCAAATTGTTCGTTAAACTGATTGTTCTTTAAGGCTTTTCATTGTTGTTTCTAAAGCTATTCTTCTTGCTCCCTTTGCTGTTTTATCATGACATGGTGTAAACAATTATTATTAATAGGATTATTTTTAATGTCTTTTTTTTTTCTCCTTTTTTCCAAAATGAAGGATGTAAGAACATTGTATTCATTAGGCTTCGAGAGCTTGCGAGGGAGCGTTTCCTGGCAATAGCTGCAGAAACTCGTGTCTGCAGGCTATGTGGCTAAAGCAATCTGACTGGCAATGAATCCAGAGCCAGAAAAACTCCCATTGTTCATACGGCAAAATGGAAGAAAACCTGGATGTTTCAACGTTGTGTTTAATCAAATGTGTTGTAAACAGAAAGAAAAAAAAGCTCAAAGATTTCTGCCGCTTTGCTCAAAGAACAAATCTGGCAATTGGATTCTCTCACAAGAGCACAAAACATTGGCTTGCATTTTAGCACAAGTTTCAGAGCTTTGGTAAATTTAAATTTCAGGACGAAATTGCACAGTCTGTGAGTGCGTGGCAGTTTTGTTGAGCTTGAATGTTAAATAATTGATTGGGGAGAGCGTAAGTTTACCAGTATGTCTCCCAATCAAGAGGCGTACTTAAAAAGCCTGACGTTTCTTTGCACTGAAATGTTTCCCGCAAAGTTGCCCTCTTCTCTTGAACCACTTGATTGAACCTAGAGAGCAGCGCCAATTACAGCTGATGTGTTGGATTTTTTAGACTTTCAGATTCAAACAGAACCAACTTTTTTTTGCACTGACGTATACAAGGTGCCCGTTTTTTTATTGTACAAACTCAAAAATAACAGTTTTCTCCAATTTCAAGCTAAAAAAGTCACAATGTGTTATTCAAAACAATATGAAGGACACCAACATCTGATCCTCTGGGCCTCCAGGCTTGACGGTTCAGTTGAGAACAGCTCAGAGTACCGTTAGACCAAGCTCGAGTGACAAATGGTTCAATATTGTCACGTCTAAGCCATGATTATTTCAGATGTTCCTCACACACACACGACCAAACCCAAAGTATTGCCAGCGTCAGCATGTTGTTCACAAACATGCGAGTGGGCGGCGTTTACTTTGTCCTGCTCTCATTCTTTTGCTCTTATTCTCAACATTTCTGGATCAAAGACAGAAACAAGAAAGGCCAAGTTTTCTTTTCTATTTTTTTATTTGTGTATAACTTGCACATGCTGTTTCTTCCATTCCAAAAGGCTGAGGAGAAAAAAAAACAGCTTATTCTGATCTTTGTGGGTGCTGGCAGTTGCTTGAGTTAAACCGGGGTTTTAGTAGTTCATTAAACACGGTCTGTAGCTGATATGTTGTCCTAACGGAGTGTGCGCTTTTCCTGAATGCTGCTGGTGTAGCAGGACCAGCGGGTGGATAAATATGGGCTTTGAGGCGTCACCTCAAGTTCAGAGCGAGTCTTCCCTGGAGGTGTTTCCCACAATCAGACTCATCTTTGTACTGACCTGCGCCTTTACATCCAGTCACCTCAAAGGGAATGGTCAACCTGGGCTTTCATGTGCCGAGGCATGTCTTCACAACAACCCCCCCCCCCCCCCACCGCCCCCCTGGAGGCTAGCTCCATGATGCCAGTAGAAACTCGGTTTTTACCCCCTTGATGATGTGCCATGCCTCGTACTCCATTTACAAAAACACTCTCCTGTACTCTGCAGCTTGTGTTGCCACACTGCTACAAACCAACCATAATAATGAAACTGCGCTTGGAACAGCCAGGCCACTCCACTGCTGTGACCTCAAGACGTTTTAGAACTGCAGCCTAAATGATCAGTGCAGAAAAACTGTCACTAAAGTTCCAGTTTCAAGAGTCAAGCAGTCCTGTACTTGTAAATTATTAATACTGACAATTCAAACGTATACATTCAAAAAGAAACGGGAACTAAAATCTCAATTGGAGTTCCTCAGACAACGAAACCTTAGACGGCTCTTTTTTGACTCAGCATTTAAATGACGAGCTAACTACAGAGCCAGACAGACTTGACAGGACTGGAAACTTCCCAGACATGTTCCCTCACGTCAACCCCTTTTTTTCAGATGAAGTACCAGTCAGTGTTCAGCCAGTCCACATGGCTTTCACTCCACCCCTGAAGCGGGTCACTTGTACAGTTTCTGTATATTGAATTATCAGGACTCTATAGGCTTTATGGGATCCTCATGTTTTTGAGAGACCCTGTAGTCTTCATCACGAAAAGATTGGAAAAGAATTTCAAAACGCAACATTATGTAAATACGGTTTAAAGCATTTCAAAAGGTATAATAAGGTGCAAATGTATATTATTTAAAGTGTTTAAAACAATTAGACTGTGGTATTAAAGGCCATGTGTGTCCATTGGACTTTTCTTGCATATTTGCGATAATAAAAGGATGTACTGTATAACTGAAGAGTGTCTCGTTGCTCTCGTGTTGTTCTACGCGCCCAAAGGACAAAGGGCAGCTTTATTACCGATCATGCAAGCATCTAAATATTTAAGCATGTATGTACGGTTGTTAAAGTCACTTTGTTGAACTCTGTGTCCTCCAACTAAACAGCTGAAAGCTGATGAAGCTCAACAGGCCCTTGTAAGTGTGCACAGGTAGAATCTGAAGAGAGAGGTCTGCCCGTGCAGCAGAATCTTAAGCTGTAGAGGGACGAACACAGAAAGAAAACAATGTGCTTTAAACCCTAGTTAAATGGTTTAGTCTTTTTAAAAAATGCTTCTGTTTAATTAGCAACTGAAACCTAGAGGGGACTTTTCAAAGCAGAGCAGCAGTGCTCGACTCAGCCGGCACTTACTGTAGCATGTTGAGATGGAAATGAAACGGGCTGAATTAATAAACTCCAGTGGGGGGAGGGGAAAACGTGAAGCAAAAATTAGATAAAATAACAGGAAAATAGCTGATTTGGCTAATTTAAGCTTTTTAAACAAATTCCACTTTTTACAAACTAATTTAACAAAAATGGGCTCTCTCCACTTCTAGTAATTTAGGCTTCTTTTTGATTCTTTAGCTGCTATTCAGCTGTTTTTTGCAAATTTCTGCTTTTTTTTCCAGATAATTTCCACATTTTTGTGCTACTTTCTGCTTCATTAGACCTAATTTGGCACAATTGTGCTCTCTCCACTTCCTACTGCTAATTTGAGCTTCGTTCTGCTTTTTTAGCCACTGTTCAGCTTGTTTTGTTTTTTTTATTAATTTCTGCTTTATTTGTAAGTAGCTTATATTTTTATTTTAAATTGCACAAGGAAGCTGAAAGAAGCTGAACCAGAACAAAATGTGAAAGAAGCAGTAAAATGTTGTAAACACATCTAAAGATATGAAGGATGTAAAATGAGCTCAATTCATTTTCTATAAGAAAAACATGGCAGAAAAGGCTAAATATTAAAAAAAAAACTAAAGTTGCACCAATACCAAAAGTCATAGTAGGATTGTCCTGAAAGAGCTGAACGTTTTGATATATGATGTGTTGAAATAGCACAAAATTGTGGAACGAGATAGATGGCAAAAAATAAATTAAAAAAAGTCAGGAATAGTTTAAGGAAATAACAGAAGCATTTTCTTTGGGTTGATGTCAGATGGACTGAGGCAAAGTGGAGGACTGTCCCGTAGTGTGACAAGTCAAAATGCACAATTTGTTTTAGAAAATCATAGACGGTGAATCCTCAAGGCAAAAAACAAAAGTAAACATCTGGTCTGCTATCAGCACACAGCTCATATGCAGAAATCCCCAACGGTACAATGCAGCCCGTTCTCAGAAGGAAGCAGGAAACAGGTATGTTTGTCCACATGTCCAAAATACGGCACGCTCAAAAAGGTAGCAGAAATATCAAAGTGGTCATGTTTTACTTTGCCTGCAATTTTGTCATGGAGCATTCATGTAATATGAAGCTAGTCTGCTGCCAAGTTTTCAATAATTTACCATGTTATCTTTCTTTTTGGTTTGTATTTTTGAGCTTAGCTCTAATTGACAGCAACTGAAAATGACCGTGCATGTTGATTTCATTGATTCACTAATTTGTCTGTAGGTGTGAGAGTGTGAATCGTAGCCTGTCTCATTTGTCTTTGTGTGCCCTGTGACTAGTAACCTGTCCTTGGTGTACTCGGCTTCAGCTCGATGACCTCTGGAGGTAGGCACCAGCTCCCCACGGCCGTGCACGGAAAAGCAAAGGAAACGGATGTATGGAACGAGGCTCAAACAATCAACATGCAACAATACATCTCTCTTCACATTCTCCTGTGTTTTAAATCATATTAAAATCATGCATTAGCTTCATAAGCTGCATAAAGAAGGCATGGTGTGATTCGAAAATGGGGATAAATGCACCTTTTAATTTTTAACAACAGAAAGAGTAGCAATTTTCTACCTGTTTAACCATTTTTTCCTTCTGTGAACTAATAATAATTGTAAATGTGGAAGCAAGATTGTGATAGCACAAGGAATAATATGTGAACGCACTATTAGTGTTGAACTGTTCGTAGATTTAGGACAACATATGTTGTTGTTAAAAAAACAGCCTGATTTATTTCACCAAGACAAGAACATTTTACCATCCATAAGTGTTCTGCAATCTAAAAATATATTAATATAAAAATAGGGATTGGGGGAGCCACGAGTTCCCGGCTCTGTCGGGGGAGGGTGTTGGTCAGTGGCGGGGGGCTGTCGAGAGACAGCAGGAGGTCCTTCAAAATAAAATATAAAAACATAAAATTTGAAAATTATGAAAATAATTTATGGATGAGATGCTCCTGCATGTAGACCGTGGGGTACAGAGTGTGAGACAAAAGTTGCAGCTTATAGAACGACAGTTAGGGTACTTACGGGACAGATCTGGTTGACAGGCCCCAGACTGATGAAGTCTTCCGGATGGAAGATGAAACGTTTTTTCCTTTAAGGAACTGGTCCATCCATCCATCCATCCATTATCTTTACCCGTTTATTCCATTTTGGGTCACGGGGGTCGCTGGTGCCCATGTCCAGCAATCACTGTGCGAGGGGCGGGGTACACCCTGGACAGGTCGCAAGTCCATCACAGGGCCACATAGAGACAAACGAGACAAACAACCATTCACTCTCTCACTCACACCTAGGGACAATTTAGAGTTACCAATCAGCCTAACATGCATGTTTTTGGTCTGTGGGAGGAAACCGGAGTACCCGGAGAAAGCCCACGCATGCACGGAGAGAACATGCAAATTCCACCCAGAAGGCCCCTGGACCGGGGTTTGAACCAGGGACCTGTTCGCTGAGAGGCAACAGCTCTACCAGTTGCGCCACCGTGCTGCCCGGAACTGGTCCAGATGAAATGATTTAACCTTTTTTTTGTTATCTACCTGGATGATTGAGCCTACAAACCTTTTTTCTGAACCTTTTCGGTCTTGGTGTCCTCAGGCTGTTTCTGTGAGTAGCAAGTTGGCCATCTAGCCTAAAACATTTGATTTGATGATTGATTGTTTTGGACGGATGGGTTCTTTTGCACGTGTTAAAAGCCTGCTTCTGAGATTCCAACAGGTGATTGGCTTGAAACACTGCAACGAAGGCTACCTATGGGACAGATCTGGTTGGCAGGCAGGCCACAGACTGACGAAGTTCTCTGGATGAAAGACGAAACGTTTTTTCCTTAAAGGAACTGGTCCAGATGAAATGATTTGACCTTTTTTTGTTGAGACCTGAAACTGCTAAAACTTCTCAGACTTTTTTCAGTAAATTAAATGAAATATTTATGTACATTCACAAATCATTGAAGTCTTGTCTAATTTATATTTTGAAGAGTCCAAACTTTACTTGAATAGGAAAAATGGGTTTACCTACATCTCACCAAAGTTCATGCTCACTAATCCAGGTAAAAATCCAACAATGTTCAGTTAGGTCATCTGGACAGTTTTCTTTTTTTTTTGATGAGACGTTTCGTCCTTCATCCAAAGGACTTATTCAGTGCAAGTGGCTCCTCGGACTGAATAAGTCCTTTGGATGAAGGACGAAACAAAAAAAACTGTCCAGATGACCTGACTGAACATTGTTGGATTTTTACCTGGATTAGTGAGCATGAACTTTGGTGTTTTTAACTATTTTGGCGTGGCTGCCTTAGACGAGCTGACAGGGGAGAGGGCGGGCCCCAGAAACCATCTTATCACCTGCAAACTGCACCCACCCCCCAATGGGCATTGGTGTTTGTGGGAATCCAGTTTGTTTGTGGCTCCTTGGACTGAAGAAGTCCTTTGGATGAAGGACGAAACATCTCAGAAAAAAAAAAAGGCAACCATCCAACCTACATTTCCTGCCTTTGGTTTTTCTTGAAAAAACGATGTAAACAAACGTAACTTCAGTTCAGTTTAGTAAACAGCTTATTTATTCATTTACAAAATAAGTACAAATACGAAAGTTTTGTTTTTTTCACACAAACAGGAAATTTTCAAGATATGTACACGAGTTTACAAAAAATACCGTGGTTCTAATAAACACATAGTTTTGTAAACAATATTTACAAATCATTTCCACATTTGTAATGTTGTTTTCCCCATGTGTTTACAGTAGGAATATTGTCCCGCTAA